AAGCTGCCTCTCCAATTTCTAGCACTGTAATAACGTAATTAATTCTTCAAATTAGTATGAAGAGTTTGTGGAGCCATAAACATGCATCCAAAACAGCATAAAAGAGAGAACTGTATTTGATCTTGAGATACGAATGGCGTGTTAGATTTCCATCAAGAAAACTTTTATAAATTGAAATGCGAAACGAAATCAGATAATGCCATTGGTTGTTGCTGTATTTGTAGAGCCAATTTAGTTTCTGGAAACAGTATCATTAGTATTAGCGGTACTTCTGTTGTGTGGTACACCACCAGTCAAAGCTTTTATATAATGCCTTGTTGTTTTCTCTCCCTTTCCTTGTTGCGTACCTCTCCACAGTGCTGCATACCCAAGGCCCCATTGATGGCAGTCTGTATGCGAAAGTGAGAAAGAAGAGCTCTTCAGACAGCAGCATCCCTGGTGTTACCCAGGGAGTTCCAGTGACTGGCAGTCCTGATCACAGTGACCATACCCTCTCTGTCAGCAGTGATTCAGGACACTCGACAGCGTCCATCAGGACAGATAAGACTGAGGAGCGCCTTGTGCCAGGAGTCAAACGGGGCCTGAGCCCACAGGAGAAGGCAGAACTGGACCAGCTACTTAGTGGCTTTGGTCTGGAGGATCCTGTCAACAGCATCAAGGATATGACTGATGCTCGAAGTAAGTACAGTGGGACTCGCCACATAGTGCCAGCTCAAGTTCATGTGAATGGAGACACCAAACTGAAGGACAGGGAGACTGATATTCTGGATGATGAAATGCCTAATCATGACCTTCACAGCGTGGACAGCATTGGGACTTTGTCTTCCTCGGAAGGGCAGCACTCCACCCACCTAGGGAACTTCAGTTGCCACAAGAGCAGTCAGAACTCGCTTCTTTCAGATGGCTTTGGAAGTAACACTGGGGAAGAGCATCACAATGCTTTTGCCCCAGACCTGGGAATTGGTGTGGATCCCCTCTATGAGAGATCATTTGGAAGCACTGAGACAAAGTCAACTCAGCAGTTACAACGGAATCCTTCTGTCTCACCCCAGCCTCAAGCCTATGGCCCAAGTAACTACTCCACCCAGACCTGGGTACGCCAGCAGCAGATGGTCACTGCTCACCAATATGGTTTTGCCCCAGAGAATGAAATGAGGGTTGGCATTCATAACACTGTGGAGAATTCAGGCAGTGTCCAGAGCCAGTCCCGAGTCCCAAACACCCCGACACGTGGCTCTAGCAGCAGAGATGCTGTGCAGAGGGGACTAGGGAGCGTGCCAGGTGCTGCTGAAGCTGCGGAACATGCCAGCACCAACAGTTTTAAGTCAAGGCCAGTGCCTCAGAGAGACACAAATGGCCTAGATCTAGGACAGAATGCAGGGGACTTGCCAGCTTCGCCGACTTTGGATATTGATCAGTCCATTGAACAACTGAACAGGCTGATCTTGGAGTTAGACCCTACATTTGAACCTATCCCGACGCGCATTAACACTGTCACCAGGGACAGAAATCAAGTAAACGGCTTCACCAGCTTTGATGTAGATGTGGACGGGCTTGGTAGGAGTCCTGGCTTCCATGACAAGTTAGAGGTCACAAACAGGAATACCTCCCGGCATGGTAAGCTATTATAATATTTTCTGAATATAATGCTTTTCCTTGTGTGTTCTTGATGCGGTACAGCAAGGACCTCAGGTTATGAGGTTGTGACTTAAAACTTTCAGGATGTTTATCAAGGGATTATTTCTGACACCCTTTTTACATACCCATCCAAGAAATTATGAAACTGATGTCAGATAGATGAGTTCTGCAGATACTTGTTCTTTTGCTTGGAAAAAAGTACGGTTCAGGAAATTCTTACCTGTTACAGATCATCACTTGGGATTCTTTGCTGCTGTAAGTTTAAATGATAATGGAGCAGAATTCCTGCAGTTCCTACATTGAGACATTTTTAGAAGGCGTCTGTAGTGAAATGGTTTGGGATTTATGATTATATGCTTTTTATTATTATGGTTTTTTGTGATTTCTATTTGAAGTTGGAGAAGAAACTGACAATTTTATCTTCAAATGTAGTGTAATTCTGCTGGCAATGAATTTCTATTAACTGTTTTCATAAGTAATGTAATCTTTGCCAGTAAAATATTTTAAAACATACTCTCTCTGAAACTTTTTTCCGTTTAAAAATTAGAAGTCACAGTGCTAGCTTGTTACCTCTGGCTCTGATATGATTGCCGAAAGCAGCTGGTGGAATTAAACATGAGATGCTTGCTGACTACGTTGCCTAAGTCATGCTGCTAGTTTGCAAAAGGATCAGCAGCCTGTCTCTGCTTAACTCCTCTGACACCTTTCATTAATGCTGTAGCTAAACTTTGCAACAAACAAGCTCCTGGCTGGTCTTACTCTCATGTCTGAAAATTCCGTGTGGTCTATTTCCTCTGGCAGAACATATTCCCTTCCCTCTTCCTCTTCTCCCTTTTCCTTCATCCAGTCTTGGTGCAATGAAAGACTGGCTTGTGTCTCCAGGATTTGATTCAGTATCAGCCAACATGCCAGAACACGTGTGTCTGACCTCCCCGGACACAAACGAGCTGCCTCAGCTCAAGCCCAGTTGGATGTGCCAAACCATTCAGAGGTGACTGCGCCTAATCAGCGTGTGGTCTCCCTTAAAGTGCTGGCCTGTGTGATCAAGGGCGGTGATTCTTCTGGAGAATCAAAATTTTGTGTTTGGGAGGGTAACTGGGGACTGAAGAGGTCCAGGAATCCATGATGAGTATATGCAAGCTGCTTCGCTGTTCGTTCTTCATACACGGTTCGCATTTTGTGGCTCTTCAAGGATGAAATGCATTGGTTCATAGTTCTCTTGAGTGTTTCTAAATCATTAGCTGATGGACAAATTGAAAATGACATTTTTCCAGAAGGAAAGAACTCTTATTTTTGGCATACAGTAAAGCTAGTGAGGGGGATAAAAGGGTCGTTTAGAGTAAGATACCTTTTACAGTTCTGTCTTTAAAGACATGAATCTGAAAAGTGAATTTTCCTCAGAGATTCTGGTCATCTCCCAAAGGAAACAGGAGTCACTGTCAGTTCCCTTCCATTTGTGAAGTCAGGTAAAGCAGGTAAATTTTAATAAAGGCTGGCGAAATTATGAGTCCTCGGGGCATGTTCTGGAAGAGGATTTGTTTTAAAGATGGTGATGAGTTTGGAATTAAATATGAATATATACAGACAGCATTTAGAATCCTGGGTAATTGGGAGGTGAAACAGGCCATAGTACGAGTGAGGTAATTGTTTAGGATTAAGAAACCTCCTTTGCTTTTTCTCATGCCCTTGCCTTTGGCAAGGCATTTCTCTCTCCTTCATCAAGCTGAGGAAGTGAAAAGGAGGGTTAAGTTTTTTCCATTGTTTTTTAAACCTGTCTCTTAGAAATACTGAACATCCTTACAGGATGTTTACATCATACTGAGCTTCAAACATAACCTTATGCATACTGATTCCTAATCCACTTCCGATTCAAATCAATGTAAGACCTCTTTGGATTTATTTAGTCGTAAAGTCCATGTCTCAAAGCGAGGTGGTTAGCACAATTTGTGTGCTGGAAGTGCTATGTAAGTGCTGATTGCTATCAGCACCAGCTCTGGTTTTGACATTGAATTTTCTCCCCGTACCATCTATCTCTGCTCCAAAGCAACACCCCCATTCCTACCGAAATCAGAGGGGTTGAGGTTGGAAAAGACCTGTGGAGATTATCTGCCCCTTTGCTCAAGCAGGGCCACCTATAGCCAGTTGCCCAGGACCACGTCTAGAGTTTTTTTTACCATCTTCTACCTACAGCCACCTTTCTGGGCAACCCGTGCCAGTGCTCAGTCACCCTCGCAGCAGAAAAAGTTGTTTCCTGATGTCACTGGGCACCATGGAAGAGAGGCTGGCTCCCTCTTCTTTGCACTCTCTCTTCAGGTATTTATATACATTGATGAGATCCCCAACACACTTTCATTTAATTAAGAACTTAACAGGAGTGCTGTCCATTTTTTTGTGAACAGTTCTGCACTCCTCCAAATCCTGAGTACTTCTGCATGATGTTTTATTTGGCATACTAGGCATACCTTGTCTGGCAAAAAAGACTAATTAATTAAGGGAGAATCAGGGAGTGAATCAACTGGTACTTGGGTCTTTTTTTCTATTTTTTCTATTTTTCTATTTTCATAGATTTTTCTGTTTTCATAGATTTTTGCTTGGAGGAAGTACTTACTCCATTCACTCTTTCACTGCCCTGAAGTCAGATTCTGTTGAAGTTCTCAAAAAGCCTTTCACTGACATTAGAGACTTAAGGAGGGAGGTGGCAAGTAAAGGGTTAGCCTTGCATTTTTAGGACTGAGAATAAATAAATGTGCTGTATCTAGAGTTTAAGCACTGCAGAGAGCCTAAAATGTGGTAGGATATAGGATGCAAGACTGGAGGCTTGTGTTGGCCTCTAGTCTTGGCTTACATGACTGAGATTTATGGGCCTCATTCTAATCATATTTCTAGTGACTTAGGATATTTATATTTAGAAAAAATTCCTTTTAAAGTTTGACCCTTAAAGAGTTTTCTCTCCATTTTACCTTGTGTTTTTCAGGGCCTTATGCTGCCAGTGTTATGTTGGTTAGCATCTTCTAGCCTGGTGTTTCTGGTAGAAAAGGCAGAGAGTAGGAATAGTAAGGATTTAGATACTTTAGTCAGAACCTTGAGGCAGCTGAGTGCATTTGAGTCCCCTAAAGTTTAAAGACCTCTGCTTGGGGTTAATGTAGGTAGTGTCTTCTCGTTTCCCTTGTGTAATAATCACATGCCTTGCTCTTGAGTGCTAAGCAGCAATTTTAGATCTGTTAAGTCCCTTGCCTGCCCTTTGAGCATATTCATTGTGAGTAACAGTGCAATTTTATGTCGTGTTTAATGCAGTGGAAATGCAGCAGACTGTTCCCAAGAGAGGTGGCCTTACGCTGCCTCCATGATCCTTGGACATGCACTACGTCATCTCTGCGTCAGCTCTGGTAACTCTGCAGTGGTGGTGTTTGTTGGATCAGCTTGTTAATTTAATGGTTTGAAGGTTTTCTTATTGGTTAGTTCTCTGTCAGATCAAAGAGTTAATCCTGCAGTGTTCAAAGAGAGTGGTGAGAGCACATGGGCTGGAGGTGGGGGGCAAGCTGAATGGCCATTTTAGTAGCCTTTAAACCAGGTAGAACAGGTTTATCCTGAAACTGCATACTGCTGTCTTTGTCATAGGATCTGATTGTAGGAACCTCACTGTGGTGAATACAGTTTTCCCACTTTGTTACTCCATGCCATTAGGAAATTATGACTGATACTGGGGCAGGTCTATGAGAAGGGTAAATTCAGTATTTTAGGGCATTAGCTCCAAGGCTAAGGTTGGAAATGTCAGGATTCGCCTGTCATTTTCTGCATATGATTCATTCAGCATGTGATACTGGAGTAAGCAACATAATAGTATTTAATTAAACAAAAAGTGTTTGGGGTTTTTTTTTAAGAAATATTCCTTTGTATAGCTTTAGCACAATAATAACTTTTTAAGTTTGCCTTTATGTCAAGTGCTAAAGTGTTCTATTTCTGACTTTTGCAAGTATCGTTCAGTTTAGACCAGTAAGAGCTTGAATTTAAAATAACCCATGGTTCCAAAAGTAAAATATTATGTATATGTGGCATGCTGCCACCTCTGCTTGAGTCTGGGAGGTCACCAGCACATACTGATTTTCCAAATGCTATAGGATTTATTTATTTTCTTGCCCCACTGTTGTATACAGAATCATTTAAGCATGGTGTGCACAAAACAACAACGGGAAAAACCAGTTTCACTGAATGAATATTAAGAATTAGGAAGACCTGGAACGTTTTTCCCTTGATACATCATCTGATGGAAAGGCAGTATTCTAGCTGCAAGGAGAAATTGTGGATTGGGATGGCCAGATGGAAGCCACAGGAGTATAATTTCATGTTTCATCTGAATCCAGATGATGGTCATAACTCTGAGCATGAAACACAGATGTTGTGATACCTTCTTTCAAACTCTGCATAGCACTTCAATGGAATAATTCCAGAAGCGTAGGCCAAATACCATGACATTCTGCTAGGCAGATGGCTGAGGGCTGGGAAAGTAACCTGCTGTTTGCAGAAACCTCTACCACTTAGCCTCAACTGTATGAGAAAATAAGCAGATAAATTGAAACAGCAAAATTAGTCTATTTTGACTGTTGGTGGGAAAAGGAGCAGCAAACCTAAAGTTTGAGAAACAGGGAAATAACTCTTTATTAGCTCCCTACCTTTTTCAAACATGCTTTACAGTTCACTTCTCTTTGAGGAGCACGGGTGTGCAATATCTGTGTGAGGAGAGGTAAAGTGTCCTTAGGGTATGCAGATTTGTCGCACGCTCTAGAGTTTCGGTGTACAAACCCAAATCCTTAAAGAGTCTGTTGTCTTCATACTCCTACTGAGAGCTAGTGCTTCTGTGCAAGGATTAATAAATAACAAGAAACATACTCTGTACTCAGTGGGATAAATGGCAGTGTTAAGGAGTTTAAAAAAAAAAAAACACAACAAAAAACCCTACAAAACAGATAAAAACGTAACTC